CCTTGCACGATGTGATCAAGGATATTATGCTTGGACAAAAAATCGTAGCCCAAATTACAATGTAGACGAGTGGAGATTTATGGGCCAGAAGTAGATTGTTGCCACTTACTCCCTAAAGGGATTTATTTGGTCCGATAGCTTTGGCGTATCAGGCACAAACCCTTCATTCAGAGGATATGACGGAGGTAGTTGATTTTGAAAGGTTCAGTGCTACTAATTTGATCTAGTCGTAAAGAACCAGGAAATATCAAAAACAAAAACACAATATCTAATTCCGCTGTCACAGGCCTCGCTGGATTCTCCCGATGTCTTCTGTCTACAGATTTTTTTTTTTCTTGTACTACTTGAGTCTGTGATTATCTAGCACATTGAGCTCCTATCTGACACAGGCCACACCTTGTACAATGCTCCTTGCCTCTTTTGTTACTCGAAAGATCATTGATATATTGCCCTTGATGAATAGCCATTCAGTCCTCATGGTGGTATTTGCGAATGAAACCTAGAAAATGAATCTCATAAGTCAATGGAGTAATCCAAAATAAAGATATAACACCGATCACGTGCCATAGCTGGTTAGTCATGCCCAGGGCGACCAGGACTTTATTTTTTTTAAAAAAAGAATTATTTTGCGATTTTCTCCGGTTGCCATTCATGCGCAAGTTGCTATCGTTTCATTGGCCTGTAAGCAGGAGGACCTGCATGTCCCACATAGTCATAGACTGAGAAAGGAAATTAATATAACTAATAACAATAAAGCCGGCAAATACTGTGAGCTGTGGACTTAGTAAAATCACTCGTGCACATCCATTGCACAACACGCTTGATAAATAATAGAAACAGTATGAACTCTCTTGTTAGTTGGATGCATCTGACATCTACTCAACCACTACTGAATGAGAGTCAACTGAATTTTTCCAGGGCTTAAGACGCATTGTAAATGTCAGACACCACAGTGTTGAAGCTCTTCTAACTTCATCCAACGAAATTTTGAGACCATCGATCCCTGATATTCTCCTAAAAATTGAATATTGACAAGTTTATTACCTCGTGTATGAAAACCCTGCCGCTTCCTTCGATGTCTACGAGAGCCGGTGGATGACTTCTCTTGCGCTTTTAATATTTTTCCCAATTAGTCTATTCAATAATCCGAAAAGGAGGGAATGTGTTGTAATCCTAGTCCGTGCTAACATAACGTAGAGACGTGCATGGTCTAGGTCATGGATTAATATAGTCGCTGTGCCTACACAATTGAGGTAAGCTACGTAGTGGTTGTAGAGATCTGTTGAGGATCAGGATGTTGAGAAGTGATAGCAGTGCACGGACCAGCTTCTCATGTATTTAGACAGGTGGTCAGGCACTGCCCCCAAAAGTGTCTATCACAGATCACACACGCCGGCAAAGACGAATTCTTCACCTTCCAGTGGTGCCGGTGTAATCGCTCAGTATGCTCTGCATATCTGGGATAGCCAAGAAGAATCGCATCCGAATCGAAGTCGAAAGCAAACACATGTATATCTCCATTTGACGACTTCTCAACCATGCAGCACTAATCATTATCTTCTGAGTCCTCAACCCCGATCTAAGCACATATCAACTCGCCTCGACGACCGATAAAGGCGTCACCCTAACTGCAAACAGGAGCTTGCCTCATTCATTACCGGCCATCACTCTCTACATATTTACGACGCTATTTATACCCGCAAGGAGGAAATCAAGTCGAAAAATACAAAGTTGGGGTCTTGGTTTATGGGGGACTGCTGCTCTAATGGGGTTATACATCTTGAGGAAGAACAGGCAGCTGAGATGTGGAGCGAGAGGAGAAAGAAGACTCTGAAGACTCTGTTGGGACTGACATTTTCGAGGAGTTTCCAACTTTGGATTTTTTGTGGGCGCCAAGACCAAGATTTCGGCTAATTAGCCAGGAGGGCTTCTTTTGTCGATGAGTCAACGGCACTCCCCAGCGCCCTGGACGGTACAAAAGAAGTTAGGCTAAGCTACTATACAGCAATCACGCTCTGTCAAGACTTTTCTGACATTTCAGCACGACCTTCGGGAAGGAGTTGGAAGGAGGCTAGAAAGGCAGAGGGTGAATTTCCCGAGGTACACACAAGTCTGCAGCGCCCAGCTGGCCGGCCTCTTCGAACGCTTCAGAAGGGGCAATATGTCTTCGGATTTATTCCTAATGTCGGTATTAGAAGAGCCCCGCACCCAGTGGTTTTTGCGAATTTTCCCGGCTGCCATACACCCGCAAATGGCCATCGTTTCGTTGGCTGGAGAGGGGAGATAATGAAGGGCAAAGGGCTCCTCTTAGTGTATGATCGAATGAGGACTTGTGAGGGGTGGTACTGTTTGAGGGGAGCTGTATGGGAGGCATAGGAGGGGATATACTACTGGTATAGGTATCCTTGGCCTGTAGGCAGAGAGGACCTGCATGTCCTACATAGTCATAGACTCAGACAGGACAATAAAATGAATTAATAATAATTAACAGATCACACACTTTATCCATTATACTTTAGCAAATAATAATCCCTTCTAAATTCTACAACTCAGTTCTCTAGCATTATATCACAACTGTCTCTAAGTCTATCCCAAGAATATCTCCAGTGCTCATCATTCATAACAGAATGCTCGGGGGGTTTGTTGCATACGAAGGCACTAATAGTTTGCCTTCTATGTGCATTTGCTTAATTTGTATAGAGCGGTGTCCTCTACGAACCTGGGAGTGAAATATTCTCCCAGAGCCAAGTTCAGTCAAATTTCGCAATATCAAAGAAGTTGGCCCACGAGGCAAAAATCCAAATTACTCATCCACGTCGTTATTTCGCTCCCAACGATTTTGACTCCTATCTTCGTCTCATCGAGTCTACAAGTACGACCAAGTACATCCTTATTCCAATGACCACACCACTCTTCGACCTTCTCTGGCCTCAGCTGGTCACCAAATACACGCCCACGCCGATATTTATACCCGACGGAGGAAGGAAAGCGTGGCGCACAAATCTGGGAGACAGTTCTTTGGGATGGATGTGAGAGGGATCTGGACAAGTTGACAAGATGATGCGAAGAACGGATATAACCTCGAAGGGCATGAGATTCCGAATTTTGGCAAGGAGTTTTTCGAATTGGGCTTTGTGCGCGCCAAGACTTCGCTTGCGAGAGTGCAGCTAACACTATAAAAACAAGCAAACGATGGAAGGTGTTGTGGTCCGCCTCCTGGTGGTGTTCTCAGGTATGGTTTGAGTAGCCTGGGCACCTACTCCACTTGGGAAGGAGACATCTCAGATCACATTTCGCGCGGAGAAAAGTTGATGGATGACGGAGGCATGTCTGGGTAACTCAGGGTTTTTGAGACGTTCCCCTGGGTGGGTATTCACGGATGAGGGTTGACTTGGGGTTAAGAAAAAGCCACCATGACTTCGCAGTGGTACTTGCAAATGAAATCCGAGGCATGAGTGCTCTTCTTGTAAATTGAGTCATCTATCATACACTTCTCTGATATTGTGTCATAGCTAGATAGCTGCATACGCAATTAAAATCTGATGCAAAAAAAAATTAAATTTGCATAGCGTAAAGTCATGCCCGCACCCATCGACGTGTCCTTATGTGGCACGTGCCGACCAGTCTAGATTGTAACGGCTAACCGAAACGATTTGTGCAAGTGGAAAGTAGACTGCCGGTATATCCGCGGCGAGTCACGTGCTGGTTGACTACGTGACACACCGCATGGAGTCTACCGGGGCATTGCCAGAACCTTTTCGTTGCAGTAATATTGGCAGGGAAATTGAAGCTTGATACTGCATGATGAAATAGCTGAAGTTTGTAGAAAAGTATTGTCCGTTCGAGCCAAAGATTGGCACATTTCAGCCTCTAAAATTACATCAGTGTAGCCAGCAATAGTACAAGTACTAGGTGAGCCGTATTGATTTAGCATCAATAGAGACTCGGTAAGGCGTCGGCTGATGAGTAATATTGTCTTGCCCTCATACATATTGCCACTGTCGGCATTATTATTATGCCGCTTGCAGCTGATTTGTCGGACTCCCGGTAGGTGGGTGAGCTACCAGCATCGCAACAAGATTGAGAAAACTGGCTTCTCTATTTGCGGGTCCAGGTTGAGCTATCGGAAGCTAAAGAGAAGGCTATCGCTTACAGAAGGGGTGGCAAATAACCTCAAACGAGACTAGGGGTGTGGCTAGTCGACGGTTAATCGAAGCCGCTGGAGAAACCTCCGCTGACCCTCGTCTTCCAGTGGCGTCAAGATGTTGCCTACGAGATGCTTCTTCCGTGATAAGAATATATCGCCTAGCCATCATGAAAGAACGTCGGAATCAAGGAGCCGAATCGGCTGATGTGGACGAATGCCCTGCCAGTGACGCAGTGCTCTCAGCTTATGCCGTCCCAGTCCATGAGCCATAAATACAAGTTCAGTTGCCTCAATTTGTCTGATCCATAGTTCCCTTCCACACTGTTTATTACACCATTGGTTTTACACATCAACAATTGCACTTCAAACTTCACAAATATTCACAAACTTGTAAGTTGAATGACCTTTCTCTCCCCCCCTTTGTGAGATTTCAAATCTACTGCGTGCCCTCCATTTTCTGCTGCTACTTTACTGCTAGAGGATCTTACATCCATCAACATTAAGCAATAAGGATCGTACTCCACAGTTTGTATAAACTTTGTTCGGAGGTATCCTGCATCTGGGTAAATCCCATCGGCAAGGCTGGACATCCATGGGAAGCTCAAAGCCCGTTTAAACTATTGAATACTTCATTACAAGCCTTTGGCTATCCTCGAGCGTTGGTCAGACAATACGATTATGAAAAAAATATCATCATTAGTTTCGGATTGACTTGTCCTAACTATGCCTTAATTTCAATGGTCCGCGTCATTGTTTTGCCTAGCAACATATCTGTCTTTTGCATACGCGAAAAATGCCCCTCCGCACTTTCAAGATCGGTCCTCCCAGCGTCGATCACTAAGATCCGCCGGAAATGAAGAATTCTCCTTATTTTATGGCATCACTGGAATCACAAAAACCTGCTAACATTATAGAACCCTTTCCAGCTCCCAAGAATCGATCTGTCATTGACCCATTTCCTGCCCCAAAAGGTTACCCGATAACAGACCAATTAGTGTTTATCAAGTCCGCCGCACGATATAACATGCCTCTGAATCAAGCTAAGGTCAAGTCCGTCCTGAGTGGTGACACCCTCATTCTGACATCCGTCGCCAACTCCAAATCTGAACGAACTCTTTCACTCGCATACTGTACATCGCCACACTTGAGGAAAGATGGAGATGAACTGTGTGCCTACGAGTCTAGGGATGCTTTACGACAAATGGTTGTTGGAAAAGTGATACAATTCACTGTTCTATATACGATCCCGAATACAAAACGTGATTACGGGATCGTTTTTTTACAAGATGGTACTCGCTTACCAGAAGCTATGATGAAACTTGGCTGGCTGCGACTGAGAGATGATGCTGGCCGTAAAGAAGACTCCGAAGAAGCTCAGAGTCAAATTGGTCATTTGCGAGCCCTTGAAGCCCAAGCTCGGTCCGAAGATCTAGGGATATTTCGTGATAATGTTAAGCCGATTAGTGTCCAGTACGAGCTTAAATCTCCGGAGACCTTCCTAGATACATGGAAGGGTAAATGCATCGATGGCTTAGTAGAGCGCGTGTTAAGCGGAGACCGTCTGCTCCTACGTCTACTCGTCTCACCACTAGAGCATATTCAGGGTAACATGCACCACTTTATTTTACCTGTTAAGTTTAGCTGATTCATAAAGTCATCACTTTAATAGCAGGAATTCGTGCACCAACAACTGAGCATCTTAATCCATCAAACGGCCAGACTCAGGCTGCTGAAGAATACGGAAATGAAGCCAAATCCTTTGTCGAGGAGAGACTCTTGCAGCGAAACATCAAAGTCGATATTTTGGGACTAAGTCCTCAGAAACAGTTAGTTGCAACACTTCGACATCCTCGAGGCTCAATTGCCAAATTTTTACTTGAAGCGGGTCTCGCTCGCTGCACCGATTTTCACTCTACCCTGCTAGGAGCTGAGATGGCTCTTCTGCGCGAGGCAGAGAAGCTGGCTCAGTCGGAAAAACGTAAAATTCACAAAGACCATGTCGCCAAAGCTGCTAACTCGGCTGGAAACATTGAAGCCCAAGTCACCCGAATTTTCAGTGCTGATGTCATATTTGTCAGGAATCGTTTAGGCGCCGAAAAGCGCGTCAACCTTAGTAGCATTCGAGGGCCTCGCACCACGGATCCAGCAGAATCCCCGTATCGAGAAGAAGCCAAGGAATTTCTTAGGAAGCGAATTATTGGGAAGAATATCCGAATGAGTATTGATGGTTCTCGGCCAGCAACCGCTGAGTACGAAGCAAAAGAAGTCGCCTCTATAACTTTAAACGATAAGAATATCAATCTGATTATGGTACAAGAAGGATGGTGCTCTGTCATTAGACATCGGCGCGATGACACTGACCGTGCACCAAATTACGATGAGCTTTTGGCCGCCCAAGAGAAAGCTAAAGAGGATAAGAAAGGTATGTGGTCTGGCAAGCCATCCAAGGCAAAGCAATATATGGATGCCTCGGAAACTGTGCAAAAAGCCAAACTGCAAATCGCAGGTCTTCAGCGTCAGAAAAAGATACCCGCTATTATCGATTTTGTCAAAAGTGGCTCTAGGTTTGTCGTTCTTATACCTCGAGAGGGTATTAAGCTCAACTTTGTTCTCGGTGGCATTAAAACTCCAAAATCGGCCAGAAACCCAACCGAATCAAGCGAGCCGTTTGGCCAGGAAGCACACGATCTCGCTACTAAACGTTTGACACAACGAGACGTGGAGATAAACGTACATGGACTTGACAGGGTTGGCGGATTCATTGGAGAAGTCTTTGTGAATAAGGAATCATTCGCAAAAATTCTTGTTGAAGAGGGCTTTGCTACTGTTCTAGAATACTCTGCCGAGCAGCTAGGCAACTCTTCCGAACTTTTAGCTGCTCAACAACGTGCGAAAGAAGCCCGGAAAGGTTTATGGGTGGATTGGGACCCATCGATGGACCGAAATGAAAATGAAATAGCTCCTCACACGAACGGGACTGAACCAACTACTTCTCGGGAAAAGGACTATCGTGATATCATGGTTACCCATATCGGAGAAAGCGGTAGCTTGAAGATCCAAGTCATTGGTACGGGCACTTCGGCACTGGAAACCCTCATGAGTCAGTTCAAATCATTTCATCAAAACCCGGCAAACTCAACCAGTCTACCTGGTCCTCCCAAAACTGGCGATTACGTTGCAGCTAAATTTAGTCAAGATGGACAATGGTATCGAGCTCGTATAATTGCAAATGACCGAGCAGCGAAACAGGCAGAAGTCTTGTATATTGACTACGGTAATAGCGAAAAGCTCCCATGGTCAACTCTACGTCCTCTCTCTCAAGCTCAATTTTCACCGCAGAAATTACGACCTCAAGCACAGGATGCAATTCTCTCACTTATCCAGTTCCCATCTAACAAGGACTATCTTCTCGACGCCGTCCAGTATTTGACGGAACTTACTGAGGGCAAGCAATTAGTTGCCAATGTTGATAATATTGCGCCCAATGGCTCTTTTTACATAACTTTGTTCGATCCAAGTTACAGCGAAAAACTCACAGACAGTATAAATTCGGAGATAATATCTGCTGGACATGCCATGGTACCTAATAATCTTAAGGCTTGGGAACGTAGCTTTGGGGATGTTTTAAAGATAATGAAAGATAAGGAAGAAGAGGCGATTCGATCGCGCAGGGGTCTATGGGAATACGGTGATCTTCGTGATGATTAGACACATGTCGCTTCTCTGTACAGGATAAGTTCGCCACTGTAATTTCTTGGTGTTACAGTTTTGTTTAGATTTGAGATTGTGTCGTTATTAAGCTATCATGATTTACTTGTGCTTTGGGTACGTAGTTGCACGGGCAGTTGGTATAAAAAAAGGTAAAAAGCAGGTTTGAATAATTTGTGTATAGACAACCTACTAGAATATATTCCCGTGTCCTTCTGTATATTTGGGATGCAAGCTGGTTGGTTTAACTTAAGTAACCTGTACGTGAGGGAATAATCAGCTCAAACGAAGCCGTCTAAACTTTTTTATTGTGGAATAATAGAAGAGAACTTGTGACCACTCAATGGAACCCAAGCAAATTCTGCTCATATGCACTTCCATCAGAGCGTCAGTCTACCGAAAATTTGTCTACGTGATGCTTAATATTTATGAGTATAGGCGATCTGCACCTTCCGTATACTTTTAGGGCTTTGAGCTTGGATGGGGCCGGGTTGAGTCAGATTGAATATTAAACACATGAGCCCCTTCCGGATAGAGTGAGAGGACTACCGGATAGTTAACCCATTCGTTAATTAGAATCGAGGCTTACTGCCTGGAAAACCCTATGTCCACGTGCCCGAGACGTTAAAATTTCCATTCTCTCCAATCCTTCATGAGGTGACAGATCCCAGCGATATCCGAACTTGGCATCTCTTTATCGCACTATTTGGGGGCTCATCATCTGGCATCTTTGCTCCCGCGCAAGAACACAATATCATAGGTATATCTTGGTGGATTCGCCTCCATATTTCCAAACTTCGCTTCCATCATGACTTTCTGCGTCAGAGCGTGCGTTAGTACTGTTGTGATGATTGCAGAGCCGGGGTATATTAATTGATCAGAAGCCGTGCTTTGACAGACATGGATTCATCTACAGTTTGTCGATTGAGAGTTTCCTTTCGCCTCCTGTACGCATGTGATGTCTCTGCATTCTGACTTTCTCCGAAGTATCTAGCTCAACTCCTCAACGCGATAATCTACGACACCATGCTAGTGGTTTTCCTCTCCCAGACCCGGATCTCGTTCTCGCGCAATACTACAGCTCAAGGTTCGTGGAACTGGCCGCTGGTAGACGTTTTGCATTCGTCTTCCGGCTACTGTCGTTGCATGTGAGCATTATAGCAATAAAGTTTGTATTGACTGACTGGGACTTTGTTGAGCAGGGATGCAGGATTGGTTAGACCCGTGTTAGAAGAGTATCCTTTTTTTAAAATATATTCATGGTGTAATGGTAGATGTCTTCCTACGCGTTCTCCACTGCACTGATTCCACAGTGACACCCTGCGTAGGCCATCTTTCAATCTTAAACATTGAAAGGCCTCTCGCTCTCTGCCACCTCCTCTCACTGAAAATACTATCGTGCCTATTTCCCGGCACATGGCAGCCGGGAAATATCGCAAAAGCCACTAGGTACGGGGCTCTTTATCACCGACATTAGGACTAAATCCGAACACACAACGACACTTCTGAGGCGTTCAATGAGGCCAGCCATATGGGCACTGCATCTTTTGGTTACCTCGGGGAATTCACTTTCTACCTTTCTAACCTCCTCTCTACTCTTTGCCAAAGGTCGTAATGAAATGTGAGAAAATCCTTTGTAGAGCATGTCTGCCGTATTGCAGCTTAGTTCTACTTCTTTGTGGCGTCTGAGAAATTGTGAAGTGCCGTAGATTCATCGACAATAGAAGTTTTGCTGGCTAATTACCCAGAGCCTTGGCTTTGACACCCACAGGAATTACCATCAAAAACTCGACAATATCAGACGCATCATTCCCACAAGAGATCTCTCATAGTATTCCACGCCCGACTAGCCGGTTCTCCCCCAAGTTGTATAGCCCCATTAGAGCAACAGTCCCCCATAGCCCAACATCCGAGCTATGTATATAATGACTTAGTCTCCTTCTCGCGGATGTATATAGCATATTAACTTAATGGTAGGAGATGACCAATTTTCCATGAGGCAAATACCGATTGAAATTGGAGGAACGCTTCTAACAGTAGTTGAGACGAGGTGGTGCAGTAAGATTGAGGTAGAGGACTCGCGTGAGAATGATAGGCCTGACATTGATGAGAAGTAATCGATTTTAGAAAAGCAGCGATATAATAATTTAACTGCGTACCCATCAAAATTACCCTCATTCATTACGTGAGGGTAGAATTTGCTAGAATGTCAAAGAGTGAGATCCCATGATAAGGTTCTTTAGATACCTCTAAAATTTAAGAGTATCAACACCAAACTTGACCTGCAGCACCCAGCTGACTGGCCTCTTTGAACTTGGTTGCTTTCAGGATTGTCACTATTTCAACAGCAATCTACACACGGAGCGTCTCAGTTATAATTAATGTTCGTAAGGTCACAAAAAAGATAGCCCGAGTGTCCTAATTGCTCCTCATTCAGGCGTAGTCTCACAAAATATGCCACTTTGGAACGCCAAAGAGAAACTAGCAAGCGCCTTTTCCCGAGGAATCTGCCCCGCGCGCAGATTTACACCCTCTCGTGAACTCCGGCATGGAGTTGGTCTTTCAGCACCATCTGGACGCTCAGAGGTGCTGATACTGCCTCGGCTACAACATTAACCCGTCGGTACTTCCGCGCTCTGACATGCTTGTAATGCGGCTGATCACTTCGTTTCACGGCGGATTTCAAAGCTGACAAAATGGTCAAAAGTGAATGCGCAACATCAATTGGATAATCCAGGATGATTGGGTTGTTCGACCAAAAGTTTTGCAGTGACCCAGGCAAAGGCAGCTTCTTAGAGGACCGATGTCGAAATTATACCTGCCTCTGAAGAAACGATTATTTATGGAAGATAATCGTTTGGAGTCCCAACTTCCGAGGGGCTGGGTGATATTATCTCTTTCTCTTACAGAATATCGATGTGTTTTTTTCATTCGGCAGATGTATGAGACAGTACGCGCGTAGTTTGGATCCAACACTGAGGATTCTTGTGATTTCGAGATCTGGTTGGCCTTGTGCCAATGTCAACTCTAATTTTAGATGGCGATGACCGCGGCGCGGATCAGTTGGGCCTGTGCGCTGTGATCCCGGCTAGCACCACCGGTCCTGTACCCATAGCGGATCTGTAGCTTAATTGTTAAAAAAAGGAAACAAAACGTCACTTGGTGAAGGCATGGAACTAGTGCTGTATCCCGGTCGCTGACCAAGATACACTCTGTTTGTAGCCAAGAGTTTTCAATGAGAAGCTCCATTTGCAGATAGCGCCATACGTCATCAATTGCCCCTCTCCAACATGAAGTCGCCGCTCTCTGACCAGCCTGTATCCACAACTATCTACATTTATGTAAATGTTATATGTTATCTGTATATTTTCATAGATTTCTAGAATTTATATTTCAATTTAAACACTCGATTGACTAACTAGCTAGAACCTCCAATATCCATCTATTCTTTTACTTGAACTGTCAAAAGATAAAGCTGTGGCTCGTTATCAAAAGAGTAATGAAGTACCTTGATAGCTTAGTAACAAAACTACAAAATCACTCCAGAAAAAACTCGAACCTAGCATCGAATCAAGTCACTAAGCAAGAAAGAGCCTTCATTACCCATTTATCTGGCTCAGAATGTCCAAAGGTCAAGGTTGACCAACTAGATTCCAGGAGAGAGGTGCTAGGACAAAACCCTAAATTTCGATTGGGAATTAATGATTTCGAAAAGTTACGAACATTGGGGACGGGTGCGTGTCATTCCTGATGATGATCTCCAATCAGCGAGCATAAGAATGATGTGCTGAGAAGGACATCAAAACAGGAACATTTGCGCGCGTGTGGCTTGTGAGACTATCTAATCCATCCAAGGAAGATCGTGATAAAGTTTTTGCACTGAAGGTGCTACGAAAAGTGGAAGGTTAGTCTTGGAAATTTGACATAGAAAGCTATATCCCATTAGCATTCTAACTAGTAATCAGTGATCAGACTTGGACAAGTCAATCATGTAAAAAATGAGCGCCGTATCTTGGCAGATTTGGCAGGACATTCTTTTATCACCAATCTGATCACCTCCTTCTCTGACCAAGACTCGCTTTACTTGCTCGTAAATCTCTAAAATTACCTCCGGACCCCCTTATTAACCTCTTTAGCTTGATTACTGCCCTGGAGGAGAAGTTTTTTCCTATCTTCGTAAATCCAGACGTTTCGACGAAGATGTCGCTCGCTTCTACGCTACTGAAATTGTAATCATTCTCGAATATCTGCACGAGTGTAAGGGAATAGCCTACCGAGACTTAAAACCCGAGAACCTTCTTCTTGATGCAGATGGACATATCAAGTTAGTAGATTTTGGATTCGGCAAAATTCTGGGCAATCAAGAGACATACACATTGTGCGGTACTCCCGAATATTTAGCACCAGAAGTCATTCAATCTCAAGGTCATACCACAGCTGTTGATTGGTGGGCACTGGGAATTTTAATTTATGAATTCCTCACTGGATATCCACCGTTCTGGCATCAAACAAATGCTCTCGAAACATACAAGCAAATCATAAGTAAACCAATAACTTTTCCCACTGACATTCTAATCTCTCCTGAAGCTAAAGATATCATCTACCAGTTTTGCACGACCAACCGCTTTTATCGTCTCGGTAACATCTCTGGTGGTGCAAAAAGGGTCAAGAACCACCCCTTTTTCCGCGGCGTGATCTGGGAAGACGTCTACAGCCGCAAACACCGAGGGCCCATCATACCTCCTCTCCGCTATCCTTCTGATGCCCAATGTTACGATTACTATCCAGACGAAACGAAAGAGTCAGAACCATATTCTTCAGAGCTGAGATTAATATGGGAGGATCAATTCAAAGATTTCTAGGCTCAGAGCTGAAGAAATATCATGGAATTTGATGTAGGTGAAAAAAGGACAAAATATCAAATATACTTAGGCGTAATTAATGAATTCGAGAGACTTTTATTTAACTTTGAATAAATATTATTGATTCGACCGTATTGGAGCATATGGAAGGTATCCGGAGGTAATATCAGGGAAGATAACTTTATTAGTAATTATTCTGACTGCAAGAAGAATAATATTAAGTCTAGCAGTATCTCCATTTATGATTTGGGCGGGGCGATACGCGGTAAGTTTGTTATTTATTTTTGAAATTTAGCGAAAAACCTCGATGCCTAATCAGGATCCCACAACTTTGTCACACTTAATTGACTTCTCTTATTTAAAATGAAAGCCTCATTAACAGCTCATCGATTGTTTCGTTTTACCAACATGATGGTGGGAACTAGGGCTAGTTGTTTTAAAGACGCTTTGCAGAAGGATGTAACGCCAGCAATAGCTAATCAAGTAAGGTTATTGAATCAAAAGTTCGAGATATTAGGGAAATTATGCTTATAACTTGCAAGCTGAAGGATAACCTAAAGATCGGAACAAAAGTCTCTGGGCTAAAAATAAAGTGGGGACGAAGGCTCCTCGGCCCTTATCAGTCGCGATGAATGGTAAAGGACTTCCTATAGTTCTACGCCCCTGGGAGAGCGTATTCTATCATAGCTACGCAGTTTAATACATGATGAACTAAAAAAATAACACATCTTAGTCAAAAATGGAGGCTTCTGACAAGGATACCAGCTAGCTTGTTACCATTCCACCCGTACTATTCGGGTCTAAGCTATCTTATACTACAGCTTTAGTACTACCCACTACTCAATTTTCATATTGGATAAGGGTCAATATTTCAGGGGAATGGGGTCTTGGAGATGATTTACAATAGTCAAGGAGTATGAAGTGGGTGAATGCGCAGTGCGACGTCCAAGAAGCCAAGGTATGGAGTTATTCGACTATAGTGGCCTTCACCGTAGTTCTTTTCTCACGATGTCTCAGAACACCGATATCAAAGTTCTGCGCGAGCATTATGCGGTAGAAGTTTATCATAATCTTTCGTCAACAAAAATACACAGAGACGAAAGTGCTGATAAAGACTAACACTTTAAAAGTTTTATGGCTTGAGGTAGAAATAAAGAATAAGCTATATTGTTATGCGGTATTAGCATGCTCAGGCGCGTGGCGTCTGGGGAATAATATTGGAAGGGGGATGTTTTAATTTTTCAATTTTTGAATTGAGATTTCGCACGGAAGTTTTCTTACGTTTTATTCTGGGTTGCTGAACTTGTTATGATTCAACACATAGATGAGTTTCGGCATGGTTCCGGTCATTAAGGTGGGACGAGGCATTTCTATTTGACGGTAATAAACCTGATAAACCCGGCTAGATCGGAGATCAAGCTACAAAAAGAGTGGAGAGGTTGCTTGATAACTTACGGCATGCCAATAAACAAACGATCATAACTTTATAATCTTATAATGCTAAAAGCTTCATCTGCATTTTTCTGCTGGTTATCTTAGTCTCATTATGCCTATAATCTACGCAGAGGATAAGATGGCATATCCTATTTGTACAAAGGAAATGTCCGACAATCTACTTTATAAGATCTCTACTGACTCTAGAGAACGAAGATAATCTGTGAATTGATGTTTCATGATTAGATGGACCCCTTAGGAAGAAGGCAAACGATTCTGACATTCTCTCAGAAATTAATCATTCCAAATTTATGCCGCACCTAAACACTCCTCTCTTCTCCTGTACGTCAATTTTAGACTACTTCAAGCTCTAGGTGGAGAACTGGCACAGTTTTTGATTTTAGGATGTCTCGTAGTGAAAATCACTATCAATATTTTGAGGTGCGTATTCCACAGACGTTTTCACACCTTCATTTAAATCTTAATTGTCTTTTTCACGTCATAAAATCCCAACCGCCGATCAAGTATTGCTGCGACACGGCATGGTTAGTATAGGCGCTGGTGTGCAGAGTTTATCAGATTATCAACGCAATGCGGTCGGCGACAAAAATAGCCACCAGCAAAGGCGAGGGAAAAGTAGTAGATTCTTCCCGAGGGAGTGATAAGCTTTTTGAGAAGTATTAATTGTAAAACGGAAAGATAGTAATGCATTACTTAACAGGGATGAAGAAGAGTCTCTGGAAAATGGGAGCAAAGGAATGACCGCCGCTGATGATGGAAGTGGAGGATGTCTTAATGGTGTCGTTAGGAAGTTCAAGAAACCTAGACACATCGAGGAAAGAATGCTGACCTTGGAAAAAGTCCTTCAAAGAGGTCTTGAGTATATCGTCCGTAAGGCGACCACAATAATAATGTCTAGCACAGTGGGCCGGCCAACCATTGCCTCTGTTAGGGCACCAATGGTATCAAAGATGACAGTACAAATATGAACGGACACTGCATATAACTTACAGCTAGAGTAACTGCTACCAAAAGCCCAAGACCGCATACGAGGGGCATACGCCGTCGGGGAAATGTTAATAAATGATACCGAGGCTTTAGTTCAATAATCGGATCAGGGGGTATGGCTTTGAAAATGGTTTGGCTGGAGGATATTGAAATTTCCAGGCAAGATTAGCCAGTGGAAGTCATCGGAGTATGTCTCAGGACGAAAATCATGGGAGGCATGGACACAGATAATCGAAGGGCTGCTGACGAAATTATCGCAGCGACTAAAGTGAAGATACCATGGCTCCACGATGGAAAGAAATAACTATTGGCACAGGAGAGTGGTCGGACCGGGGGATCTATCATCATCAGCTGTTCGACAGAGGCCCCCCAGCTAGAGGTGGCGGAGAACGGCATTTTGATAAACGCGATGCCGTACACAGCGCAACTCTGGTCAGACAGGGCTCAGATCAAGCAGTGATACAAGTGCAATTAATGAGTTCACACTCAGGCTTCGTGCTGAAAGGCAGCGAGATGTAGATAGTGCACGAGGAACAGTCAAATTGGGGACTGTAAGAGGAAGGAAGTTTCCCGCTGCAGCTGTGGAAGAGCACACAGATGGCGGCAAGAGATGGAATGCAGGACTTCATGGTCTAGAGGGGCGTGTGGAATGCGCTGGGATCGAGCTTCTAGAAGGAACAGCAAACATGCATCGCGTTTATTCAGTCAGTGTAGCCTAGAGATCAATAGGCAACTCAAAAGGGGGCAAGAGGAAAACATCACGACCGCCACCATCAAATATCCAGGGGTGCCTAGAAGGAGACCGCAGCGATGCTGGAAAGCTGTTCTGACTCCGGCATGCGCCAAGGTGCCTTACCCACCAAGTCGGAAAGCCGATGTATTTCAGTTTACTATTTCTAAGGAGACAATTAATTTTTTACCGAGCAATTAACAAAGTCAAGGGTCGGAAACCAACACAGCAGGAGGGTAGATGGAAATTCCCAGAATAGAGTTGGAGTGTGTGCTCGCGGTGGGGACTAGGTATATTTTTCTTGAAAGCTTTTTCCCTAAATCAATATGGCTGTGTGTCGGAGGACGAAACTCAATACTAGTCAGTGATGTCTCCTATAGACCTCCAGCCTTCACTTTTGAGTCTGCAGGTCTGAGATTGAGTAACACCTTTTCAACTTTGAGCTGAGTTTTCTCCCCCTCCGTCAAAGATACGCTTCCGATAACGTATAAGACGATCAAGACGATGATAATGATGCTGTGAATGAGGAAAGATAATACGGTACCAAACGCTACAACGGTAGTCAGAGAAGCCCTCGTTATATCACAATATGTGCTACCCAACTGCGGGCGAATAAAAAGCCCACGAAAGCAAAGTTAAAGAACCTTCCGCCCTCAAGCAAAGCAGATTTCGACTTGTCTACAATATAGTCTCTACTAATCTATACTTCCGATTCTACTAGCCAGGAGGGCATCTGTGTTGTGCTGGTGATGGCTAGGATTACGATGCACAAGGATAATGATCACCGAGGGTGAATCAAGAACTTTCCATGTGGCTCCATGATGAGTAGAGGAACAATGGAGCACTGTATGGAAATTGTTTCTAGATTATACTACGAGATGGAGGATACTAGAATATTCCGTGATACTGTTTTGGAAAAAAAGGCGAGAGTGTAGCTACCTCAGATGTGTTTATGACTAGTGCTTTCTACCTTCTAGATCCTCATAGTTCTGAATACCAGACATATCAGCAGTTCACATTGATTCATTGACAATCATCCGTAAACCTTCGGCCAATTAACCTCCGTAAGCTCTTACCTTTATAACAATCTGAAATACATGAGTTACCCGGCAACCCCGCGTCCGTAACGACTTTTGGATGCTTGGCTAGCCTCCTTCATCGTAGTCACTCTCGACCAAGACTTTTCCGACATCCTTTCACGACCTTCGGTTTGTCCTGCGGCAAAAATCAAGGGAGGAGTAAGGAGGAGGCTAGGAAGGTTGAAAAACGCTCTTAGGTATACACAGGTCTGCCGCGTCCGGCTAGCCGGCCTCTTCAAAAGCTCTAGAAGGGTGGTTTTGTTTTTGGATCTAGGTCTGATTTCGGTATTTGGAGAGCTCCACACCTAGTGGTTTTTGAGACTTTCCCCTGCAGCTATACATCCGCGATGGCCATCGCTTTGTTGGCTGGGGAGAGGAGATAATGACGGGATGACGGCTCCTCTCAGTGTGTTCTCGAATGAAGACCTGTGGGGATATTACTGCTGGAAAGAAGTCGTGAGGGGGGCCATAGGAGGGATCGCACTGTGCGAGGCATAGATACTCCCGGCCTGTAGGCAGAGAGGACCTTCATGCCCTCACACAGTCATAGATTCAAGACGACAATAAACAGACAGAAAATTCCGACCCTCAATGCCAGCGTGACTTGGCGCTGACATTAACATGGTTGTACTGAAAAGTTCAGTCTGCGGCCTCTCTATCGGCTCACTGGCCGCCATATTGTAGGTCCTGTGCATAAATTCGACGACTCATCTAGCGAGACATTCATAATTTCGCTACACATCTTAGTC